TATTTTAATTGAAGTAGAAGTTAAGTTTAAGTGTTTGTGTTGTACTACGTTTTATTTTAATTGAAGTGGAAGTTAAGTTTAAGTGCTTGCGTTGTACTAAATTTTATTTTATGAAACTGTCAAACGAATGGAGAACTAAAAAAAGTAATGCGCATATTCGATTAAATATTGTTGTTAATGTATACAAAAATATTATTTATACCATATCAATGTGTCCCGCACCCGGTGTGTCTCAATGCAGCCGCTGGCCTGAGGCGCATCCCCTCCCGCCCAGGTACGCTATCAAGATCATCATCATCAAGTTGTCTCCTTATAGCCGGATGCGACGCAGGATGACATGTATCGGTGGTGTTGTTAGCTCCAGTAGAAGGCTACATAATAATATGAAACTTAGTATAGAAAACTACATAACAATTCACAATAATTTATATTGTCTTACCATCATCGTCTCTAGATCTTGAATGTAGTCATCTGTCGCTGCATCTCATGAAGCCTTAAAAAGAAAATTAATAAAGTTAAAGAAAATAAATAAGTTACAGTTAAAACAAATTCAAATTCAATACTAATAAACTCATACCTGCGCATGTGATGTGGAGCCATAACTCAGTCGGCGCCCACTATAAAAATCTCGGGTCGGTCGATCCTCAACAGTGGTAGACGGGCCTGGGAAGTATCTACCCCAATCTACTCCTTGAATATCCGAGCCCGTGATCAATAATTGACCCGATGGGGTCACATGTGATGGCACTGGAGTGCGATAAATTACAAGGCTGTAAGACGGCATGTCCGTCTCATGCATGCCACCTGCCATATCAGCAGCAATTAGGGGTGTTCAAACCGAACCGGAAAACCGCACCAAACCGAAAAACCAAACCAAACCGATTAAAAAACCCGACTAGGTTTGGTTTGACTTGGTTTGGTATTGAGTAAAAAAACCCGAACCAAACCGACATATAAATATATAAATTTTATTTATATTTTTAAGATTTTATGCGAATTTTCTTTAGAAAATGTAGAAATATTTGGGATCATCTCATGTATTAACCTTGAAAGGGTAAATTAACGAAAAATTATTGTTAGACGACTAAGAAAATAACTATCATGTGTTATTAAAAAAATTCTCCCATTAGAATATTTTAATAGATCATATGTTTGTCAATATTTTTTCATATTTACTAAACATATATTCACTTATCAAAGCTTTATCTATAATTTTAACAAAGTAAGATTGAAATAATATTCACGTAACAAAAAAACCCGAAAACCCGACAAAACCCGACAAAACCGAACCAATCCAAACCGATATAGTTGGTTTGGTTTGGTTTTGATAAAAACCGAACCAACCCGGTCCATGTACATCCCTAGCAGCAACATCATCAACAGGAGCCTCAACGCCCCCTTGTTGGGGACCACCTCCTCTCCGCCTATGACCACGTCGTCCGGCACCACCAGCTCGTCGGCCACCACCAGCTCGTGGGATACCACGACCTTGATGGTACTACGCTGGGTCCATATAATCAGCCTCGTGTGCTAAACGCTAATCCGATCGGGCTCGCTGCAGTGTCTGGGCAGCCACATCCATGAATCGACGACTATACTCCTGCATGGCCACAGGATCGTGGACATAACTCTGCATCTGCTGCCCCATATGATAGACGGTATGCAATCCAATCGCCTGCACAAAGTAAAAAATATAAACTACATATTTGGCACTAAATTACATGTATATAACTAATAATAACAGAAAACATACCAGGGCCTCGTGTCTCCCGGCGTATGGGACGTACCGACCGTGTGCCTGATGAACTGGGTTCCCGATAAAAAGTCGGAAAACAGTGCGGTACCATGCCATATAACGTTGAATATCCCCTCGCCTGTCCCAAGTACCTAACTGCTCGTTAAGCCATGCCATAAATGTGTCGTCCGCCCTGGACCGATCATCCCTCTCATAATGTAAAGCATGCCATGCAGGCGGAGTCGGTATAGATTGCGGCAGGCCAAACTGACGAAATACCCGTTCGGAGGCATGGTTCTCGACAATATCGAGGCATATGAGCGGGACAGAATCCCTCCAAATATGTCGGCCGAACGTGCAATACGCTGGCAGAGTACCTATCACCTCATCGATGTACGACGTCCAGATGAATTATCAAATAAGAACACAAACCGTTAGTATGCACAACACTAAGTTAATCTATAACAAGTAAGTTTAGTTAGATATTCACCTATGCGTCCTCCAGCAGATCCAACACATCTCTGCAGAGGGGGAGATTATGATGGGCATCATACTCTCGTGCAAGAGTACGACGCATAACCCACCTACAGGCTAGTGGGAGTTGAGAATTTCTTCATTAGTCGGTAGCTGTGGTAGAGGTGGATGAAACTGCAGAAATCGCTCCCAGACCCAAACCTAACATACAAAGTTGACGTAAAGTATAAGATTA